TTTATAGAAAGAAGCAAAAGTTAAGCAGTAAAATATGAACCAAGTTAGTTTCTGCATGGTTTGTACACAATTACCTAGCAGAGTTGAACAACTCATCTTTATATTAGTGCCAGAGAGATCCTTGGCTTATTTCATATCCTGGGTATCAAGCCTCAGGTTATAAATATCTCTAATGGACTTAGCAACAGTTACCTACAATCCTCCTGATGACAGAAATTTGCTTTCCTAATGCTACATGCAGTTGGCAGTGTGCTGCTTTTACTTGTAGCTCTTAAACAAGCAGAATACAAAACTAGTAGACTTCACAGAATGCTCATAAATGAGCCCATATATATATATATATATATGTATATATATATATATATATATATATGGATTTCCTTGCTCGCAGACATACTGCTCAGATGTTTACCACAGCATCCCATTCACTAGCACTTAACAAATGTACTGTACAACACTGCACTTTAACCACATTCAACGAAGCAAGGACTTGCTTCTCTATTGTATGGTGTTTGCATCACAAAGGATGCCTAGAAAATAAAAACAAAACAAAAATATTTCTACAATTAACTGCATTTTAGGTTTTAGTAAATAAAATAGAAGAAAGAAATTTGCAGAAGAACCGATTTCAAGATCCGTTAGCCTGGCCATCTGGAATTCTTACTGTGTGTGTGTGCATGCACATGTGTGTGCACGTGTGTGTGTACGCACGTGCTATTATGAAATGTTGGTATCAAGGTGTTAACGTAGCACAATGAACCTCAAGCCAAACAAACGCATTACCTGTAAGTATGCCTGACACTAAACAGCTAAAAACCAACATTGCTTCCTTCTGCTTCCTCCATGTCCTTGTCCAATTTTTAAAATCAGGTAGCAGCAAAACAAACATATGATGGTTTTGAATATAAGAGTTCAGGTTGATGTTTGAAAATAAGAGTTCATAATATCTGAAACTCAGCCTTAAAGGTAAAACACAATAAAAACGCAACTGTGATTAAGCAATTTTTGAGATGGGGGGGGGGGGGGGGGGGGGGGGGAAGGAATCAAGGAGAAAAGCAGTAATTAAGACCAAAAGCTGAACGAGTTACAGCTGACAGTATAAGTGTTAGTGACATTTAGTTTTTACAAACTTAGTTATGAGATTTACTACCTTGCAAATATTATTTCTGTTCCCCGGTTTAGATACAGTGTGTACAGAGGAAATAATAGCCCGAGTTCTACATGTAGAACGTATTTCTGCACAATTTTCAGTCAGGGATGCATTTTTCTTAAATTTTCTTGCCACACCTGGAAAGGGCCTTACTTTTCTATAAAAGGAGAGCTGCGTGCCACATATGATTAACTAAAAAAAATAAAGGTAACTCAGAAAACTGTCTGAAGGTAAAAAAACAAGAACCAGAATGCACATACTGGTGTGGAATAGCAGCACACTATGATTGCTAAGGACATTAACAAAAGCTAAGACTTTTGTACAATGACTCTAGTGTTCAGTAATAATGCTGGACTGCCACCACTGAAGACTGGAAGATCTACCTATTCAGAAGATATTTATAGTATGGGCTACAAAATCAATGTAGCAGTACTTTAAAGTAAATCATCTTCAGGAATGTGGCTAAAATGAGTTAATAAGTGGCAGAAGCATCTTTTTTCTATCTTAAGAGTTTTCTGCACAACCAATCAGTGTAGGAAACCAAGCATTCCCAAGCCTGGTCAAATACCCTCAGCCTCCAATGGATTCCCACTCCTTCTGTCTGCCAAACAGAGTAGTCTACTGGGCTCCTGATGGCTTTCTAGGTGGGCTGAAGCATTATTTGAGCTGCTGCTTCTAAAAGGGAAGAAGCATACAGTACAGGAAAGAGTTTAGAAAGAAACTGCCTTTAACCTCTAAGGGTAACCTTTCTCTGCTTTGCTCAGTCATCATTTCTGCAACCACGTTCTCAAGGATAAAAACGTGGCTTAGTCTTCATGTGCTTTCTAGTAAGATTAACTAGCAAAGATGTCAATTATTTATGTTGTAGACTTCTAGGCATTTGTCTGTGATCAACTTGCTTCATCCAGAGCAGTGAACTGTCATTAAATGCCAGCAATTCCCTGTGATTACTTGACTCAGTGCAAAACCCAGGTCAGCTCCCTTCAGCACCTCCAACTTCGGCTTTGGCCTGCTTAAAATGTAGGTACCTGGCCCCAGGTGGTAGATTCAAAGAAAAAGGATTAGGCACCTAGACTCTGTACAATCAGCAAGGAAAATAGGCAGTTCTGAAAGGTGCTTCAGAGAGTTGGCACGCTGAGCAGGGAGCCCCCAAAGTTAACCAATGAAAACCAAAAAAACCCAGGGAAGATGTGAATTCCTGCCTGCCTCTGGAGCTTAAGCACCTCCATCCTCTTGCAATCCTGTAGCCCAGAGTCCTCTGCTGAGGTTAGAGATCTCATCCACAAAGGTTCATTTTTCTTTTGCCACAGCCATAGGAAGAGGCTGGCAAGGTGGTCTAGTCATACCTATTTTTTACGTAAAACTCTAGTGGTTATCATTCAGTCACCCAGAAAATGGGAAACTAGGGCTCTACTGTATACTCAGCCTGAGGAGATTCAAACATGTATCTCCCATCTACCAAGTGAATGCCTGATAGGGAAATTCAGAGAAAGAGAAAGAAATTTAGAACAAAAGTTTTTAGATTCCTTCTGGGGAAATCATCCAGGCCAGATTACAAGTTTCACCATTGTGAGGTGACCCAAGATTTAAAAATTAAAATAATTCAATCAGAACTTTACTTCTTCAGGTAATGTAGCTCAAAGGTCTCAAGGACAATGCATTTGAGAAATGCTAAGCAGGATAGCACTGTCCATACAACTCTGGAGAAATCCTCGGAAATTCCAGGAATACCACCAAAAAGGTCATAATAACTAAATAAAGCTGTGCCTGGGTGAGGAGGTGGAAACATGGGACAGGGAGTATCCTCAGAATGAAAGAATGATCTTGTCTGGACTGACAATGAGCTCTGGGAAAATGACTTACACGTAGGGTCCTCTCACCCAGCCAGACCCCAAAGCATTTTATAAGCTTTAAGGAAATGTTTTCTCCACTTCTCTCAGCTCAAAGAGCTCAAGATTTTACTCTCTCAGAAACCTTGGGTCTTTCTTTAATCTCCGTAGGAGACTGTAGCCATATCTCAATCCTGCTGATATAGTTCCATCTGTTTACCACTTCTGCCACATTTCAGAGGAAATACCTTTCTTAAATCGACAGATGTGTTTGTTACAATTGTCCTCGTAGGCTATGGACATACATAACTTTAAGTCATTTCAGAAGAGGGGGGGATTGCCACCTGGGAGCATGCATCAGCTGTTCCCAATTAACTGTAAGTGAAGGAAAGGTTTAAAGTTACAACAGTTTAACTCTACTTATTCTGGAATAGGAAGAGACAGGCCTAAGGGTTCTACTGGAATAGTTTATACCACTATAACTGGTAGGCCTGTCCCATCCTCGGAGGCAGAGCAGATACTAGGAAACAAATAATCAACAGTGCTCAGCAGAGCTGCTACTGGCAGGTGCTCTGCCTTACCATTCTTGGGGTGCAGATTTAAACTAGGGATGTGAAAGGTTAAACGGTTAAACGTTAATTCTATTTATTTGGTTAAAATATTACAGTTAAAGTTTAAACTAGCTCGCCTTTGTATGCCGCCTGCCCCTTCCACCAGCAGTTCGTGCCACATAAATCAAAGGGCTGGGGCCAGGGTTTGTGGGGGAGGCGGTGGAGTCTAGCCGAGCCAGCCTTCTTCCTGGATGAGGAGAGGCAGAGAAGGGGAGGCAGGGCTGGGCGCAATGGCCAGCACCAGGAGCACCGCTTGCCACCTGCATGTGTCTTGCCCTATGACAAGCAGAGAAGGTGCTGGCTCCTGGGGGGGGAGGGGGAGTCTCCTTGCCTCCGTCCCTGGCTCACTCACCACTCTTGATCCCGTTGCCCTTCCTGGCGATAGTGGTGTTCCCCTTTGAAGACAACAAACTACAACCTATACTCTCAGAATGTGACATGAGGCTACGAACTATGGCCATCTCCAAAGAAATACAGTCCTTTTTCAAAATAACAATTATTTATACCTGTCACAGTTACCTGGTGAACTACACAAGATGCCTTCTACTGTCACTGGGCTCCTATACACATGCAGTAAGGCTGCTCCAACATGCTGTAACTACAGTGCATTGGAGAAGACTTGATTCATTGAGTCTGCTGGAGTGTGGTAATTACCACGCTCCAGCAGACTCCAGCCTCACGTGTATCAGTGTCCCCGTTCTGAAAAATAGCAGTGGGGGGAGCACTTTAACTAAAGCTTGTTCGACGAGCTTTAGTTAAAGCGCAGCTGCCATCATTTTTCAGTGCAGGGACGCTTATACACGTGACACTCTGAGCACTTTAATCGGAACAGCTCTTGGATCCACTCTAATTAAGGCACCTCCTCCCACTCCCCACCCCCCACACTCCCAGAGCATGTCTATAAATGCCCATTAAGTGCTCCTCAAACCTCTAGCGGCCACATAACTCAAAAGTACAATCAGTTGATTCTCCCATTCTTAAAACTGGCTCTGGGCTGCGGTACTTGGGTTGTGAACATCATTACCTGAGCAGATCTGCCTTAGTCTCGGACATTGCAGTTCCATTCTCCCTGAGAGCAGTGACAGTGGCTAAGTTATCTCACAGCCTTCATAGAACAAAGTCCTATTTATTTAAGAGTATTTCAGAGAAAATTTATCTTAAAAACAACAAAAGTGACCACATGCATGCACAGTTTACCAGGTGTTTAAACACAGCGGATATGGAAAGACTAACTCCTGAAAGAGCCTTCCAAAAAGCCCCTTTCTGTCTCACTTAGTCTCCCTGTCAGAACTTACTCAATTTACAGCCCCGGTCCTTTTAACACTCCTCTTGCAAGAATCAAGTTACATTTCAACTGTTAATAGCCCTTTCATGTAGGAACTTCCAGCACTGGTAAAAACAAGTTTGCACCTTTGGAGACAGGATCCTTGATCCCTTCCCCATTCATTGTCTTTCAGGTATAGACTTGGGTGCTTTGGTACATCAGAGTATCTAAAAAAAAAGAGTACAGATCAGATTCTTTTGGTTTAGAGTGGATTTTTTTTTATGCCCAAACACATTTTTCTTTTTTAAAATGTATCTATTCACATTTAAGCTTGAAATTATGACAGCCTGTATTAAGGTCTCAATTTACTGTAATCTACTAAACCATCTAATTAAATAAAAAATATTGTTAACAGTACACACTCACTGACAAAGTCTTAAAGAAAATCAAACCACTGAATCGAGGAAAGTCACAGGCTAACCAGACAGAACCAGAGTTTTCTGAAGTTATAAACCAGTCTGTATAAACTGTACCCTCTTTTACAGGTGCATAATGGACATTTTCTTCATTCCAAATTATTCAATTTTGTTTCATGCAGCAAAGTTCATTTAAAATAGAGAAACTTATTGGAAACTGAAAAACTGTATGAGGGACTAAGATCTGCTACTTTGAAAATTTTGAAGGACACATTGACCAAAAACAATCTGTTCAGATTACTAACTACAAAGAACACTTCCATTGTTTAGTACATCAGTTAGTTTTAAATGCAAAACATGTTTCGATAAACTTTTTTTTTACATAGACAAAACATTTAACACATTTTATAACTGATAACAAATATTTCAGAATGGTGGCTTTCTGTAATTTCCATCCAAACACACTTCACACAAATTATGAACAAAAAAATTAATCGTCTAGTGAATAAGAAATGTCATTCTTCATTTTCTAGCATAACAACACATAAAATAAGGGATACAAATAAATGTAATCTAAGATATAATAGCTTGACTGTGTCTATAACAAATCTTAGTTAGAAAAAAAAAATAAATAAAAGAATTTTTTAAAAATCAAATTTTGTACTACAAGTCATCCTGAGCCTTTGCTGAGAAGCGTGGCATATAACTCAAATAAAGGTTACATTTAGTTGCAAAATGACATTAACTTAATTGTTTGTATCCAATGAAGATTAATATTTCTTTAGGAAAATAATTAAAAAGTAAAATGCAAAACATGACTAAAATTGAGATTTAAATACAGTTTTCTTGCCTGTTCATTTAATCCCTATTAAAATCAGTGATTTTAATCACTTTAAATCAATACACCCTGCCTGGAAACCACTGCGTTGCCTACATGACATGCATGGGCCCTATTAAACTCAGCATTATGGGCATATAATCAACATTCCAGTAGCCAGAGTAAAAATTAGATGAATAGTCGCACAGAAAATTCAAAGGACCCAAATCACAGTAATTTTCCCTAAAAGTTCTGGTCACATACAGCGTTTACAGAAGTGTTACATCTCAGTCTTCACAACACTATTACAAAAAACTCCCTGTTTGTCACAATAATGTGTTCATAGTTTCATAGTTGGTTGGGTCGGAAGGGACCTGAGCACATCATCAAGCCCGACCCCTGCCACGGGGTCGGGCTTGAATGAATGCTGGGATCAATGCTGTTAACATGCCTTAAAGTTTCTCTCATAAATGAAGGGGGTAGTTTATAGCTGGAATCTGTTTAATGATCCTATTATTATATTTGTTTTTCTTTTTTTAATTTGAACCATTTTTAATGCAGTGGCCCTTGCTTTGCCTATATGGATTTGTTCTGCTTCTGCTGCTATTTGTCACTGCTCATTTCTTCATTAATAATGTACAATCCCCTCTATTAGAAGTAAAATCATGAAAACGTTCTTCTTACACTTTATTTTTCTGTGTGACAATATTATTCTTTGTGACAAAGTAGGTATACTCAATGATAGATTTGGGGCAACGGTACTGAACAACAAAGAAAAGTTGAGGCTGAATTCACTCTAAAAGAATCAGGTTATCTCAGAACTGGCCAACAAAAATCTCAAGCACCAGAAAGAAAATTTTATATAGGGGTCCACCGATAAAGATTTTCTTGGCTGCTACCAATAGCCGATGCTTATTTAGTAATAGCACTTATTTAGTAATGGCATTTTAAACTACTGACATCAGTAAACCTTTTTTTGTTTGTTTTGCATTTACACACACACGTGCACGCCTCCTGCCTGCTCTGGCCTGCGATGAGGAAGGTGGCGACCACCTTATTCCCACGCACGTTGCCTCCTCACCCATGGCTCCTACCCGCAGCCCAGCTCCCTGTGCAGCCCTCCTGGGGGGGTGGGCTGGACCCTCACACAGACAGCAGTGCTGGGCGCGTTTGGAGCCCCAGAGCACGCTGCTGCCTCAGCACAAGCGGGCCCTGCGCAACCAAGCTCCCGCGGCTGCCAGGGCGAAGCCACTTTTGCAAAGGTGCCTGGTGAGCGGAACGTCTCCTGCGGGTTGCCTTACCATGCCCACTGCCCACCCGCAGCCCAGTGTCTCTGCAGCAGCCCCAGTGCTCAGGCCCCTGCTGCGTGCACAGCATTGCCACGGCAGTGACAGCAGCAGCAGCAGGAGCCGGTAACGGTCCTTTTGTTGCTGAGCGCGGCACCCTGTGACTGCTCCTCGGAGCACCCTCCCCATCCCTGCTGGGACCTGTAGTTTGCTGTGGGCTCGGGCCAGCGGTGGGGCGCAGGGACTGGATTATGCTTGCCAGGGTGCTCCGGGCATGCTGTCATAATTATCAGCTACAATGACCAAAAAAAGCTGATCGCCAATAACGTAATTCCTCCTTTTATTGGTGCTGATCTGATAGCCAACTGATATATCGGTGCACCCCTAATTTTATACTCACTATACTAAAACACAGGTGTGAGAAAGTCTTAAAGGGGATGTTAGCTGTCTATGAAAAATGCAGTTTATTTAAAGATACTGAAAAGAGAAACTGCTGAGATGGGAAGGTGCAGTGTGCAAAGCAACAGCTTCTTAGCTGTTCCAAAACTGCAAATATAAAACCAAAAATCATAACAATACCTCATAAGTAGGAAAGATTTTTCAAGTGTGAGAGTACTGAAGAAATGAACATTGTAATTTCCTTCAAATTGGATATTTCAAAGTTTATTAAAGTGTCAAGGGCATGTGGACACACACACACACACACACACACACATTTTTTATTCTATGCCTTCCTACAAAATATATTCAACAACACAGGATTTGAAGGGACTTCATGAGTCACTGACTCTAGTTCTCTGCCAGCACTGGCACCCAACTCATATAATCCCTGTACAAAGTGTAATACTACAGATATTTTTTAACTAATTTTAATTGTATTCTCTCCTCATTTGGGAGCTATTCAGAATGTTCTTTGCACTCAGTTTTTCTGCTAAAGTAACAAACTCTATCAGCTTCACTGTGACAAACCCCAAGATGCCACCACATCCAAATTTTCTGCCTTGATGGATAAAATTTGGCAAGTTTTTTCATCCTCAATTCACAGTATATGCAATATATTTATTTATAAGCATGTGATATTAACTGATTGTTGAGGGTGCCCAGTTAAAAACAATTAAAAAAGAGAATTAAGGTTCTAATAGCTTATACTGGCTTGTTTGTCTTGTTTAGCCTATTTATGTTCCTGTAGCTTTAAAGACATTAATAGTAAACTGTTACATCGCAAACCTAAATTCTAGTTGAATTATTTAAAATGACTTAAAAGTAGTTTCAGGTAGCAGACCTGCTCACGTTCCCCTACCACCTGATTTTACAAATTTATTTTCTTGTTCTGTTACATATTGTTCCTCCACTGTTACTCAAACAAATGGCAAACATATTAACTAATGAAGAGGCAATATGTAAGAGATGCCTGTGTGTTACTGTAACATTAATTCCCAAGACTTTTCAAATGTGCTAAAAATGAAAATCACTGATAAAGACTTTATATACCATTATGTTCCCATGTCCTTAGTTCCACCCTGAATTCCACTTAACTTATGTCTATCTAATATAATAGGCTCCAGTTTGCTAGTCTCCAACAACTGCTGTGTCAACATGTGCAAAATGTAGTGAAATGGTATTTTTGTCACTGTAAGGAAAACAGATGCGACTCTGTAAACCACGTCTGTTGAGTGAGAAGATGTCATTTTTATGTTGTCACTTTTCAGGCTAGAACTGCATTTTAAACAACACGAAACACTACAACTTACCATATTTTCTGTTCCTGAGATTGAAAAGTTAATGTTTGACAATGTAGAGTTGAAGTGTTTTTGTAGCTGTTATGGTCCAGGAAATGTACAACAGGCAAGAATTTTTGTATTATATTTTTTACTGGACTGTCTAGCTGGGAAGAGAAGTTGGATGAGCTTTAGGACACACAACACTATTCTTCGGGTCTGGGAAGGGTGAAGACCTGAAGAAAGGGGCTTTGCACATGAAAGCTCATCAAACTTTTCTCCCAATTGTCCAATAAAGATATCAGAGAAAACCCTTGCCTCTTGTAATGTTTAAAAAAGCTTCTCAAGTTCCTCAAAACAGAGGAGCTATAGACTATTAAATATTGCTAGTATTGATTATATGCAGCACAGATCCATGTTCTCCAGGGCTGAAAATATAAACATAAGCTAGTGTCTTATTATGACTGACAACTCGTTGGATTTTTGAGTTATGATTTTAGAACAGTCAGACTGGCAGAACTAAAAGCTGCAGCAGTTGTGAATTTATGTGGTCCTTGGATCTTGCAAATCCTTCACCGTTGTGGAAGCAAGCCCTACCCAAAGCAAGAGAACTCCTACCTTCTCTCACCTGCAACTCCACAGCTAAATAGGGAGATGGAGATGCCACATTCCTAAAGGATTCAAACCTAACCTAGCTAGCAGGTGTTATTTTATTTGACGGTTTTTGTTGTTGGTTGTTTTTTTTGGGGGGGGGGGGGGAGGAGGGAGGAGAGGGAATCAGGGGAAGAGGAAGAGTGGTTCAGGAACAGAGGATGGAGACATACTTTTATATTAAATATTTTCCACCACAGAAGATTACAGCGGCTAGAGAACTAGCAAAATTGTGATAGTATCAGAAACAAGAAATCAAGACCTGAGCAAATGAGATGAGAAGAGACTTAGAGTGCTTAAGATTCTAGGTTTGGTTCATGTTTGTTAACTATTAACTTC